AAAAAAGCGCGTGCTTGCCGTCAACAAACCGGGCGAAGCTTCGAGAACACTGCAATTTAGGTCGGCCAACATCTCCTACACTACTTGTACTTCTTCATTTGCCAGTCCGCTGCTAGCTGGAGCGAACCCGATTAGTTATGTTCGTGGCTTCTTATCACCGGTACAGGAAATCCGCCTGAATTATCGAGTGTTTCCACACGTTGGTACAACACAACAACAATAAAAATAATATGACCACTTTCATCGGCAACATGGTCAAACACGAGTGGGAGTGCTTGATATATTAACGATTTCCCGGATCCTTTAGGCAACTTAACAAAAACATCTACTTTCTCGACTAAAACTTTTTCAATTGCAAGCTTCTGGTGAGCATTAAGCTCGAAAATTTTGAACTTTGACAACACTTTGCGAAAAGCTCCTTCAAGCACCGCCATTTGTCTTGTGTTTTCCACATGAGGATCGCGATAGAAAATGATATCTGATTGGACGAGTCTCAAAAGGTGAGTCTGGCGCGAAAAGGTTCCTGAAAATGGAATCCGAGTTGTGATTGGCCAATTCGGAGAAAGGAATGTAGTTCGGTTGTCAGCAGCAGTTCTTTTGGGGGAGCATTGTGTGACATCCAAAAAAAACGGCTGCGAGGGAGACTACCTGATAACAGTCATGGATAGACAGCACAGCCTTGTGACTCACTTCATTTCCATGGTTTCCATAATGAATATTTATAAAATTGACGACTCATAAGAGAGTATGAATTGGCACACCGCCATCAGGGGGTCAGCTCTTTCAAAGTGGTGAAACAATCTCTACATCTCCCTGATAACACTCATGAATAGACAGCACAGCCTCATGACCTGTTTGATATCCATGGTTTCCGTGATGAATATTCATGGGTTGACGAATTGTACGACTCATAATTACATTACACGACTCATATGGGTCATACATCTCATGAATACATTAGACGACTCGTATCAATCCCTGGTATTGGGCAACCCTCCCACAGAAATTCAAAGCGACTGAAAATAATTTAACACTCCAACCTATCATATCAATGAAGTCATAGGAAGTGCTAGCTTACAGCAATAAGAAAATCCTCATCAACAATTAAGGTTAATCCAGATGAATCCTTAGCACCTGATCTGAAAGCTCCTTCCATGCAGGTTACAGAGCCCTCCCATCAGAAATAATAGCCCATATGGTGATAATTATGTAACTCTAATGGCAATAATTAAGTTATCTCTTTACTGTGCACAGAGCTCTTCACTGTACTGTGTTGATGCTGATTCCAAGTGACTGCACAACACTGACTCAACTCATTCCTGGGAACTTTTGCTGGACCGTTATAAGTTTTATAGAAATTCATTGCAGAATTGCTGAATAACATCAACATTATATATTAGGGGAATGATTACCGTTAACAAAACACAACTCAACTGTTCTATTGGCAACTATTGTCCAGGCATTTGCAATTCACATGTTCTGATCATTGTAAAATCAAAAATTAAGTAAACAACATACTACACTACATGTATACACATCATCCTTTCAATGCCCACCTGGTTAAATATTTCATATCATAGACTGGAGTAGAAACAGGAGAGGGAGATGCTGGCTCTGTTGAACGACATGCTCTCAAAATTCTTGGCTTAGCATGCTGTCATATAACAAACAAAAATGCTGTTAGTAATGCATCATTACATTCAATATGTAATTACATTCACAAATCATTAATTACATTCAAAGCATGCAGACTTCATTTTTAATGTTTATTAGTAAATGAGGGCATATGATGAGCAAAATGTGCTTAAGTTCTTGATAACTCTGACTGATTTAATCAGTGGTTGACATAATTGTTATTCACCTTAATTTGTGAAGCAGAAAATCCAGTCTTCTCAGCTGGCTTTGGTAATTTGAGTGGGTCTGGTCTCCTCTTCTTTTTACCAAGAACAAAAAAAAAATCAAGAAGCAAAATTGTAAGTTAAAGTAAACTACTGTAACAGAAGAATAAAGGGGATAAGTTTCTAAAGAAACTGTGGTGCTGCATCAGTTGGGGTAACAAGGTAATTTGGTGATATCAACTACATTGAAATTGTAAATTGACCACCATAAAGTGTTAAAAAGCTGATGTTTCGGGCATTAACCCTTTGTCAGAAGGGCTAATGCCCTAACACTGCCCTCTTTTAACAGAGAACTTTAAAGTGCACCTCAACCCAAAATTTTTTTTTCGCTTAACGAAATAAGCTTATTTTTTGGAGTATTCCTGTGCAAAATTTTTTTTATTTGCTCAAATCTTTAATTTTCTGTGCCCAGTCAAAATACGGAAAATCGGCCACCATCTTACCCGATGACCTAGTTAAAAGAGGAATGGCTCTAGCGGGTAATGACATCAAATCGAGAACACGAAAGTCTGCATTTCACACATTTTCACTTGTTTGGGAAGGTTGTCATCGATATTGTCCGAAATATGCCGACTAGGTGTGTTGTAGGAGGAATGTATGAAGCGCGATACCCTCTTGCAAATTTCACACGTTGCTACATCCTTCTACAACACACTTAGTCAGCATATTTTCGGACAATATGGACACAACCTTCCCAAACAAGTGAAAATGTGTGAAATGCAGACTTTCGTGTTCTTGATTTGATGTCACATTACCCACTAGAGCCATTCCTCTTTAAACTCGGTCATGGGGCAAGATGGTGGCCGATTTTTCGTATTTTGACTGGGCACAGAAAATTGAAGATTTGAGCGAATAAAAAAAATTTTGGCACAGAAATACTCCAAAAAATACGCTTATTTCGTTAAGCAAAAAAAAATTTTTTGGGTCTAGGTGCACTTTAATCCAATACAATTTTAACTATCCAGAGTCCTGAAAAGAAAATCACACTATGAATTCTGTTTAAAATGCTATTCCCTATATTGTACTACATCTACAGTAGTTAATTTCAATTTATTCCATGTGCACAAGATATATAATAAAACAGTTGATCCATAAACAGTGCCTTACATATCGCTCATCTTCAGGTCTAGCTCTGATACTACAGAACTGACCACGCCCCATTGCCAGAGGTGGAATTGTCCGCTGAGTTCTTCTAATTCGGCCAGGTGAAACTTCATCCTGAGAAAGTTAGAAGATGATTAGAATTTCAAATATTTTCTGCTGATAGCACCTACATATTACAGTTACCTTGTACCAAATAACAAATGAATAAAGGCTGATAGTTTCTAAAGAAACTGTTTGGGGCTGTGTCGGTGGGGGTAACGAATTAATTTGGATATATCAACAAAGTTGAATTGGTAAATTGGCCACCGTAATGATTACAAAGGCTGACGTTTCAAGCGTTAGCTCTTCGTCAGAGCCAAATAACACTACTATGGAAAACACAGATTTAACATTTTTTCTACATGATGAATGAGTAAGATCATTACACTAAATAAAATGCTAAAATGTTAACTTATATCCAAAGAAATTTTCCTTGTACCAGCCATAAGTTTCTGAGAACTTCGTGATAGAATATTATGTAAATAATTTGTATAATGCACTTAATAATGTTATAATATTATAGGGATAAGTTACTTGTCAGTCAGTCCAGGAAGTAAAAGAGTTCACAACAGATTTTCTGAAAACCTACCAAGCTGACATAGTGCTTGACAGCTGGTACTGTGTATGTCGACTGTTGGAAGGGAACTGCAGCCTGCACCAGACCTTTTGGTGGAAAACCATTTGCAAAGTGTAGTTGTCTTGAGACCCTACTTGTGTTACTGTTCCTCATCATCATTCTTGACTCACAAACATAGGTTTGTCTTCATCGTTTAGATATTATGCTGCATGATTTTTTTCAACCTCCCTAAAAGAGAACTTTAGTAAAGATCAGGCAGTGTATGTAGAAAGTCTCTTTTGTGTTTAAATTTCAAATTTTAGTTTTTCTCTTACTTTCTCCCTTAGTATTATTTTTGTATTCACCCATGGTACACATGATTTAATCAATCAATATCAATAAAACCAAATTATCACGCACACACGCACGCCCACACACACACGCAGACACACACACACACACACACAGACACACAGACACCCACACACACACACACACACACACACACACAGACACCCACACACCCCCACACCCACACACACACACACACACACACACACACACACACACACACACAGAGGCAGCTACACAGTTTCTGCAGAAACCTACCCACGGTACCCTTTCCAACTCACTAACATCCTAGTTGATAATGAGTGAGGAAGTCACACAAAATAGGATCCAGATGGAGAAACAATCCACTCCATAGCTTTATGGGAAGATTTCGAAAGATTATTGAATGTCTGATTTCGGTAAAATCAATTTTCTTTGTTAACTCGAAATTAGTAAACAGTACGCGCGAGTTTCCAATATTTGTTTTTTGCATTTGTTTTAGGGCCAAACCACATAAAATCAAAGCCAGCTAACTGAAGCTGACTCTACATATACGCATATACATGGTGGGTGAAGTATAGCACATTCAATTGCTAGAAAAGACTTACATACCATCTGGAATTGTTCTTGTCACCAACTAAACACTTGGAAACGGCCCACGGAGATCATGTCAACAAACACTTTATTCAGTGCAGCCGTCCTCGCAGAAAGCAACATTGCCCTCTCTTGACTTATCCCTTTCCTTTCTTACGGATAAAACTGTGATGTGCTGCCTCTACGTCCTCTAGTTCGTGGAGATCGATATAATTAATGAGTTCAAAAGATCCTTGACTTGGCGATCAATGCAACAAGTTTCGAGTTAGATTTCACGTGACGTCAAAAATGCTAATAATTTTGCGCCAGCGCTAAGAAATTATGCGGTGGTACTCAGAACTTCTTACAATATCATATAAACGTATAATGGAGTTTTCGCAGTCTTCATCCACATGGCGGGACCGTAAAGTTTAGCGATGGAAGTTTTGCGGAAGAGCTTTCATGAATCGCTCACACTTGTCTCTGAAGCAATCAATTCAGCATCATTCCTTGCAATTGACGCCGAATTTTCGGGACTAAAGGTGAAGTGGGGAGTTGAAAATTCATTTGATACTCCACAGGAGCGCTATTCAAAACTGAAGGAAGGATCCAAAGACTTCATCATCATTCAGTTCGGTTTATGTACCTTTGAATGGGACAACGAGCTAGAGCTGTATATTGCAAAGCCTTTTAATTTTTACATCTTTCCTAAGGTGTGGAATCGACAGTGTCCTGATGTCCGTTTTCTATGTCAAAGTTCTAGTATCGATTTCTTGACAGAACACAACTTCGACTTCAACAAACTTTTTTATGAAGGAATCTCCTATTTACGGCCTCATGACGAGCAGAAATTGAGAGATCATTTTATAGCGAGGAACACACAAGACTCGTTTACGTCGACTTCTCTTACCTCCCCTGATTCCACTTCTAAAACTAGCGGGGGATCCTCACAGAAGGCGCTAATTATGAAAGTCCCACCGGAACACCGTGAATTTGTAGAGAAAGCATGTGACAGTATACAAGAAATGCTCACAGATCCGGAGGGGAAGGTCACTCGGGTGCCACCATGTAACGGTTACCTAAGAAAGCTGATCTACCAAACTGCCAAACAGAGGTTTAAGGCTGGGATTCACATGGAAGCTGCAATGAACGAGAAGAAAGAACGGTTTATTGTAGTAACTAAAGTCAATGAAGACGAAAAAAAGAAACTTGAAGATGAAAAACAGGCCAAAGAAGACCAACTGATTGAAAATGCTGTGGGATTCTCACAAGTTGTAAAAATGATATCCCAGTCTGGCAAAGTTATGGTGGGCCACAATATGTTTCTTGATTTGATTCACACAGTTGACCAGTTTTTATGCCCACTTCCAGAATACCTTGAAGATTTCAAAGCAACCATAAGTGCAGTATTCCCAAAGCTTATTGACACAAAAGTCATGGCAAACACTCAACCTTTCAGAGATCTCATTCCATCATCAGTACTGGCAGATCTTGTGAAGCATGTCTCACAGAAACCATTCGAAAAGGCTGCAGCGAAATTTGATGAAAAGTTTTCTTGCTATGTTGAAAGTGATGAGAAACCTCATGAAGCTGCCTATGATGCTTAAATCACAGGGCTTTCATTTATTTCTATGGCCAACTATCTTGGTTCTTTTCAAGAACCTCCAAAGGTCAATGTCTCACCAGATTCCTTCTTGGTTGCTCCATTTTTAAACAAAATATTTGTTATGAGAATGGAGGATATTCCTTATCTCAACTTAGCTGGGCCTGACTTGAGTCCATCCCGTGATCATGTGTTTTATTTGACTTTTCCAAGTGACTGGAAACAAGGAGACATTCTTGATTTGTTCAGTAATTTTGGATTTGTCTATATCTCATGGATCAATAGCACCTCTGCCTTTGTCTCACTTGCTAGGAGGGAGAATGCCAACCAAGTTCTTAATAAACTGGATTATGAAGGGGAGTGTTATACAATAGTTTCTTATGCTGAGCATACAAAGCAGTTTGAGGGTAGTTATGAAGAAAGTGTCGAATACACGAGACAAACTCCTCTAAAGAGACCTAGACAAATGGAAATGAGTGCATGCAAAACTTCATCACCTCTGGAAGTACAGGCAAATAAAAGCAAGGACAACACAAGCAGTGAGCTTGAAGATGGAGAGATAGTGGATGATGAAGAATCTCCAGAGCCTGCTAAAAAGAAAATGAAGAAGGAAGACAGGGCATTTGAAGAACCAGAGGAGTGGTAATACCACAAAGGAACAATTCCAGATTTTTACACATTGACTGTAATTATTAGCTTTGCAAACTAGTCACTTTGTAACTTTAGAGTTCTTTTTGTATGACTCATAAATGTGTGTCACTGCAACATTTTAAGTCTTGGTGATAGAAATGTAAATAGTAGTTGGAATAATGATTCATATTCATTGAAACTCTCTAAATAGCAAGTTCTATTCAGTATCTTTTCAACACATCTAATATGATTAGCAGTGATTTTTCCATTACAAAAATAATCTTCCTAGAAATGAAGATGATACAACATGCTTTACTTTAAATGCACCGCTGAACTAAGAACAAATGATTTGAAATGTGGGAGTAGAATTAAAAAGAGATTTTAAATCAAATATGGTTGTTCTGGTCAACTTAGTAACCCTTTTTGGTATTGGATCAACTGATAATCTCCTAATAGTGATATTTATCTTTATTCCCATCACTTGTCTGTTCGATATTCAACAGAGAAATTTTGTCTTGGCCACTCATGGGAGTTCAAGGAAAAATGATATCCATACTTACGGTGTAATTGTTTTTAGTGTTAACTTACAGTTAACTGGCTTTCTCAGGGATGAACTGTTTGATTTGAACTCTTTGAGCACAAGTAGATTGTAATCACACAGACTAACAGTTCAACATCCATTAAATATTAAATAGTAATTATTGCTTTCCAGTCAATATGCTTCTAACTTGGAATGTTAGCAACCAATCAAAATAAAGTAAAAACTTGGTGCACACAGGTTCATAAGCTTCAGGTATAACACTAAAGTAAAAAAATAAACAAAAACTTTCCAACTAGTGAGAGGGCAATTTTTCAATTAGCAACAGATTTAGTAAGCCATTGGTCTAGAAAACTGGGAAAGCAACGCAGGAATTCAAGTTCACAATACCAGAAATAAACATCTAAACAGAAGATACAAATACTTTAAATCTCATCAAATTTTAATCAGAGAATTTCTTGACCCTTGTTTGTGACAAGTGGATTGGTCATAAGAATTTGTACTGTACAGGTTTAGGATAGACCAAGTACCATTGAGTGTTATCTACAGTTATAATCTGCATGTCAGAAATAATATATTGTTTCCTGCTTTCTGTCACGAAGAAAAGTACAATAGAGCAATTACTCCAAGCACTGCCTAAAATAATTTTAAACAATAAATATCATGGCCTGATTAGCTGGAAGGTACCCTTGTCCCAGAGGTTCTCTTCTCTCTACCGGACTATGAGAATTGGGCGCGAAGTGCCGACCAATGAGATGCAAAGCAGCGAGCAGAGAGAACCTCTGGTCAGGACCGTAGAGAATCTCACTATCATGCCACCAAGCTTCGGGTGAAGCCATCAATCACACCCCTTTCCGACAACCAGAGGTATTTTAGTACTTTACTCTGATTGATTGTCGGAAAGGGGTGTGATTGATGGCTATCACCCGAAGCTTGGTGGCATGAAAGTGAGATTCTCAATGGTCCTGACCTGAGGTTCTCTCTGCTCGCTGCTTTGCAGCTTGTTGGTCGGCGCTTCGCGCCGAATTCTCGTACTCCAGTAGAGAGGAGAACCTCTGGGACCAGCGTAGCTGGAAGGGTCATCCTCACAACACGAGAGAACAAAAATCTTGAGGACTACTTTTAACTAGTTGTGAAGCCACAGAGAAATTTCATGAGTGAGAACCTTTTCTGGAACCTCACCCTTATAGTAACTGCGGTGCAGAAATAGTGTTAAATTTCTGTAATTTTATTTTTCTGACAAAACCACAAGTTATACAAGCTGTTTTGCATCTGTAGACACATGAAACATTTTAGCATTGGTTTAATCAAAAGTAATTTTGCTCAAAGATGTTACACCACAGTCATACTTAGGTCCAGATGATATAATAAATTATAAAAGTAACTTATAAAAAGTTAAGTGTTTGGGGAACTTTTTTTTTTTGAAGTAGAATTACAGCTACAGTTGTGGAACATCCAGGGGATACCTGAGGTGCAGATGACCTAGTAAATTATAAAGAGTAAATTATAAAAAGCTATGTGCTTGGGGAATTTTTATTTTTGAAGTAGAATCACAGCTACAGTTATGGAACATCATCCAGGGGATGCGTATATCTTATACGTTTTCTTCCACTCGTAGCTTCATCTTCACTGTCTGCACCCTCTTCAAGCTCACTTGAGCCAACAAGGTTTTCTGTGGCTATCACTGATAGAACATTGCAGCCAAGGACTGGTGGAAATTTTTCTTGATAATTTTTTGAGATATGTGAACTGAATCTCTTCATGACAGCCTGAACACTGAAAGTGAATACATGAAAGGTTAAGTCAATTAATTGTTTCCATTAAGTAATATGATGATGATAATAAATTTATACAGTGCTAAAACTATGAACTATATTCACAAGCACTTTACATAAATTAAAGTTCTATTCTATCTACAATTAAAATATTCAAAGGCAATAAACACAACTATTGAAACAAACTAAAAGCTTTCCTAGATGAAAATGTTTTAAGTTGCTTTTTAAAAATGGTGAGACTACTACTTGTTTTTATAGTTAATAATATACATGAAAAAATTTCTCAGTTCTGATTGGTTAAGATGAATGCAGTTTTCAGTTAATTCAGTGCAGAAGAGGGTTAATTCACTGCAAAGAAAAAAACAAACCGGACATTCTGATTGGTCAAGGTCAATGTGAAGGTCAAAGTCAAGATCAATGTCAAGGTCAATGTCACTTGCAGGGTTTGAATAAATTATTTTTGCACGTGATGAGCGCGCTTTTCTTCTGCAAAGTTATGAG